TGTCGCCAATTTTCATGTTTTATATTTTCACTTACAAATGGAAATACATATTGAATTATTGTATTTTCAGCACAATTAGCTAATAGCATAAGACAAACACCAGCAGCTTTACATGGATTCCAATCATCATCATCATCTGTTTCTTCTTGCATAGTTAATCGTTGAAGTAAAACAGGTACTAAATATGGTAATGCACCACGTGCATAATAACGACTTGCTCGTTCAGGTTGACGATTTTGTTCTTGAGCCTAAATAATAATAAACATATATATATTAATATTAAATTTTAAAATTTATTTTTCTCTTACTTCTTGTTGAAGTAATTGTAATTCATATTCTTCATCACATACATTTGACCAAAATTCAATACCTTGTAAAGCTATTTCATCATGTGAAGATCTCATGGCATCCATTGTAATCTAAAAAATCAATCTTTTGTTTTTATATACAACAAAAATACTAATAAAAATTTGAACATTAACTCACAGCAAATAACGCAGGACCCATATAATATTCCATATAATCATAATATAATGTGAGAATTTTGACGAGATTTTGTAAAGCTGCTACTTGAATCTAAATTGAAAAAAAATATTAGAATAATCTTTGCTAGTTTAAAATATGAAATAAGACATAGCTACTGTTATTAATCACAGATAGATCACTTTAATCTATCTATTTTAGCACACACTCGTTTTACGCAACCCGCTAGAAATACAATAAGAAAATCCTTCATGTATTATAATGAGACGGTATTGATCTTATAACAACGTCCGCCATGATTTCTACCTAACATCTCTCATAGCTTGTGAGGCATCCAAGTTTTGTCCTGATACTTTAACTGTCTTCTTTGAGTTCGTTTTTCACAAAACAAAAAATTTTATAGAAACAAAAACTTTTATTTACTTTTAAATTTGTTGATTGTGTGGCTTCGCATACAACTTGCATAATATAATGTCGTTCACTCTATTTAAATAAAAAATATCATTATTTTTTTTTTTCTGTAATTGAATATATTTAATCTTACATCATTTTGGAAATTATTTTTTGAAAATTCCAACGAATTAAGCATAGCTGTTGTAGCTGCAAGTCGAACATTATCATTGGTTTCTTCTTTACGCATACCATATACAAGTGCAGTCAATATAACATTACTCTGAGGTACAAGTACGTTTGAATCCTAACGAAAGAAAAAAAAAACAAATAGAAATTTTTATTTTGTAAGTAAATCAATAAATAAATTTACAATATCTTGACATATATAACCAAGTGCTTCCAAGCTCGCTTCACGAATATTATCAGCTCTTCCGACAGTTGTAACATTGGCAACCAATCGTTCTATCATATGACATAGACATTACAAAAGACAAATGAAAATTTCAATAAAAACTTACCGATTAAATCTCGCCATTGACCACGTGGTAATTCAGCACAAGCTATATAACCAACACATTGTGCTGCTTGTGATGGTTTAGTTGTTTCAGTACCAAGTGCATTGAAACACTGAATAATAATGCAACATTAAAATGAATATTAAAAAACAAAAAGTAAATTTAAATCTTACATTATTTTTGACATGATTTCTGACGTCTTCTGGTATAAGAAGCCATCGTTCTTGAAAAGCTTTTATATCATCGCGTGAATAAAGTGCATTTTTAAGTTGTAGTGCTAGAAAAAACAATTCCAAAAATTCCATACCATGAAAGATCATTTTATTTCTAACAACATCAGAATTACATTGCTATTATTTTAAATAAGAAAAATCTTCATAATATTTCTATTGCATATTCATTAAAGAAAATCTATTCATTTTAATGGAATAGAATGCATATAACAGGTGATCGGAATGTTCTTAGATAAATATGTTTGTTCACATTTGACGGATTTCCGACAAGTCAAAAACTCTGATCTTGTACTGACGAGGAAACATTCCCAAGTGATTTGCTTAGTTTGTTTATATGTAGGAGATCACTAGAGTAGTCTAATCTTGAAAGTATTTATGCTCTTCTTTAGATTTTGTCGAGATTGCAACTTTTTAGTAGATTCCACCTGTAGGAGTTCAGTTTTCGAAAACAATTATATTTGGAAGCTTGAGTTTGAAACTTTATTCACATATAGGTCTTGATTTAACTATCTCATATACAAAGTTTCATCAATTTTGAATATACCATTGCTAAGATATGCATTTTTTAGTACATCCCTATCTTAACAGTGCAATATTCAAAACAGATAAAACTTTGTATATCAGATAGTCTAATAAAGACCTCGAGAAGAGTGAAATAACCTTCGAAAAATTCAAACAAATTAGTTTGGACAAAGAGTGTGGACTGATGTTTCCTCTCTTAGAGTATTTTGCGACGAGCGAAAAACTATAGGTCGTGACCTCAATTTGAATATACGCTTAGAAATGTTCTGTCGGTTTTAGTTTACGCTACAAGTCTTTTTCCGAGCATCTGATATTAAACTAACCTGTAACTTTTACCAAATCATGTAACTCATTCAAAACAATCGGCCAAGATTATAAATGAATTGGTTGATATCTATACTAAATTTTCGGAAGAGCTTTAACTCGACGACGAGAAGAACTTAATGATCCAAACTAGTAAAACAGATACAAAAAAGAAGACAACTCATTCGTAGTGTTGCTGAATAGTATTGAAACATGTATATTCTTCATTCAAGTAAATTGTCATTAACCATATACTACACTACAATAAATTACTTAACCCATTCTCATAACTAACATGCACTGGAGACCAACAGAGTTCGTCAAAAGTTAACAAATATCTTATTTAAAAACTTTCGAATCACCCGTTAGAAACAAAACAAATAATAAATACTTCTATCAATCATATATGAAAAATGTTAATATGATTACCTGCTTGTGTACGTGCTGTTGGATTATTTGTGGCAGTATTTAAAATATCGGAAAGTTGTATTAAAAGTTGAGGCTAAAAACAACAATAGATTTTTAGATTCAATAATGAATGCTTTAACTTAAATAAACATACCAAATTTTGTTCAGCTGCTCTAGCAAGAAAATTGCGTGCATTCTCCAAATCAGCTTGTGCTATAATAAATTTCAATCAATATTCATTTATTGAAATTCTAATTCTAAACACTTACATCCAGTGACTGTTCGATCGAGAATGTGGATGAGTTCTTGTGCGGCCATCGCACTTATTTAATTAAAAAGAAAAAAAAAGTTAAAACTCAATCTAGAAAGATACTAACAAAGATGAAACAGTTGTTAACATGCTCTGTCTTTTTTTCTATTTTCTTTATTCTTTTGTTTTTATTTTCCTCTTTATATTAAAACGAGCAAAAACAATAAAGACTTTGTTTTTTTTTCATTTATTTAAGCAAGAAGAGCAGCGGCTGTTGATGATTCATATTTCCATGTTGGTGGTAAAACTTTTTTTGTTTTATAATATCGTGCCAAACGATGAATACGACTTTCAACAAGAATTAAACGAAATTTGGAATCTTTATCTTTACGATTACGTTCCAAATGTTTACGAATAGCAACAGCTTTTTTTATTAAATGATGTAAATCTTCGGGTTTACTAGGTGCAAGACCTTTGGCTTTCATAATACGTAAAATTTTATTTCCAGTGACGAAACGTGTTTGTGCAACACCATGTGAATCACGAAGAATTACACCTAAACAAACAAAAATTGTTTTTTTTTTTTTGGTAATTTTACGGAAAAATCCATTACCGATTTGTGATGGTGTTAAACCTTTTTTAGCTAATTTGCAAATTTGATCCACAACGTCTTCGGATGTTAATTTAAGCCACTGATTATAAAAAACAAAACAAATGACATTTAGAATTTTTTTTGTTTCGAATTACTTACTGATGGAACAGTTCGTTTGTATGGTAGTGCAGAATCTGAAATACCCTTGCTAAATGAAAACAAAACGAGATTTTAATAAGATAAAAAAAAATTAATGAAGAAAATAGTTACCCAGGAGCATGCATACGACCCATGTTGATGGTTTTATTTTACGAACAAATCGAAATCTAAAAAAATAGATAAAAAACGTATGAATTGTTAGTCAAAAATGGACATGAATGGTTACTTCTTTAAAAGAAATAAATAAATAATATTGCCCTATTGAATTCACATTGGCCTCCGATGGGAAAAATTCGAAGCATAAAATTTTTCTTGACATTTTTCTAATTAAAATAATTAAAAGAACAGATTTTTTCATAGAAAATATAATTTTATTTTCAAACAAAATTATATTTAAGTGAATTTTCATTCGAGAATAAAAACAACCAATAGATTTATTTCAATGATTTTGTTTGTCAATATCGGTAATGGAAAAAAAAGGCTTTTGTTCTTTTGAAAACATGGAAGAATCATTTATTATTGGTTCTTAAATTTTAGAATTTTTTAGAAATAATTTCTTTTTTTAGATTGTTTAGGATTATCAAAAACTGTCGAAGGTATAAGATTTGAAAGTTTGCGAAATCAGTACTTCAGTAATAGTATTGAATGACCTAGATTCCATATTTTTTTAAGCATATTATATTCCAATAAAACATGGTGATAAACTCCCTTAGATATGCCTGTTTTATAAATATCATTTGTGTTATGTTATGAGAAAGAAACTCATATATTTTATAACGTACACATCTTATAAGAATGATGAACATTACGAAATTATTACTGTAAAAATTTGATTTGCGTATTACTTATATTTCTTAGTATAACATCGATTATTTACTTAATTGAAATATTTGATAACATCGTATAATATCCTTGCTACCTGCATCATTTTTTTTTCTCTTGATAATCGATATGATTATAATATGTCCTATCTTATATATTTTATATTAAATATTTGACTTCTGATTGAATTGATTTCTTGGTTTTTAATCTCTTATTCGATTAATCATTTAGAAACCTTATAATATTTTCTCCTAAGGTTTAAATTTTTTTCTAACATATTATGATTCGTTAATGACGAAGAACATTGACAAATATTCTGTCTAATGTAATACATTGATGCATTTATAAACCTTGTCTATATNATTTGTTAATATTCTATTATTAAGTAATTTTTGTTTAAAACGTTTTCCAATTGAAAGTAATGAAATTTTATTTAATGTTGTACGAAATTCATATTGAATACGTATTGGTAATGATGAATGACGATATGGTAAATATTTTGATATATTTATTAATGAATTACGTAAATGAAATGTTGTTGATGATAAACTTGAATGATAAATAAATGATTTATTTATATCAATTTGTTTATTTTCACAATTATAACCATACCAACCAGTTTCACAACGACAATTATAACCATTTATTAAATCCATACAATTACCATGTATTGAACATGGTTTTGTATAACATTCATCAATATTTGTTTCACAAAAAAGACCAGTAAAACCAGGTAAACAAGAACATTGCATTCTATGATTATGCATTGAGCATAAACCACCATTAAGACATAAACTTGTATTTAATTTTGTATAACATAAATCAACTGATTGTTCACAATATTTACCTTGATAATTTAATAAACATTGACATTCAAATGTATTATTATAATTTAAACATTTTCCTTGATTTTGACATGGTTGAGATAAACAAGGTGTTCGATAAATTTCACAATGTTTACCTGTATAACTTGATAAACAATTACATTTGTATTTTTCTTTATATCTTTCGCATGTACCATTATTAAGACAAGGGTCATTTTCACATCGATCAATTAAATTTTGACAATATATACCTTTATAATTTGTTTGACATTGGCATGTATATGTATTTAGTTGTGATAAACATGTACCATTATTATAACACGGATGACTTGAACAATAATCGATTTGAATAAGACAATTTTCACCAGTTAAACCAGGTGGACAATAACAGCGATAATTTGTTGAATTAATCCAATGACAAGTTCCCCCATTTCGACAAGAACAAGATGACTTTGAAAGTAAAGATTTACCAAATGTTTCAGTATAATTATCTGTGCATGTAATGATATCTAAATAAAGATTCTATGAAATAGGGTATAGATGAAATGGAAGAATACTTCTGTCTTTCGGTATCGGATGCTGTCTAACGGCAGATCTGATAACCCGATATCTTCCGTGCAATTGATACAAGGCGTATCTAATATGGATATATGGCTGGTCTGACATGAAGTTTACGGATAATTCGAAACAAACAGTCTTGAGTAACTTGTCCACAGCCACTTCATGACTAGTGTTATCAAGGTTTTAGCATAGTATCTTGTGGATAAGTGTCAAAAAAAACGTAGTCACACTGTTATGAAAGTTTGACATGAAAGAAATATTTAAATAAACTACAATAAATCTGGAATATGAATTCTTCACAAAACTTTAACAACTATTTTCTTGTTTCATTGATCGATAGTTTTCTAATTGTGACTGAAAATATGTTTAATGTATATTTTACTTCCGATCAAGATTGTTTTATCTAGCAAAAGAGAAACTACTTCCGAAAGCTGTTCTATTAACAAGTTCTTTAGATACAATATTTCTTTGAACAGAATTTCGTTTGTTCCTTTTTTCTAATAAAATAAACTCTTGATTTCACTCCATAATTCAAAGTCAGTAGAAAAACTCGATGAATGTATGAACTTAGGGATGGGAATCCCATCTGAATTTATCACGAAGAGTACCAATCTGAAATCCACATTGACACTGGACTGACAAGTTATCGTACTATTCCATGTGCAGATGTAGATAGTGACAATTGATATAGTCAATATTCAACAGCATTTCATTACACATTCTCTATGAGATACTAAGTGTAAAAATAAATAAGACACACCGGTAACGATCGGTGCCGGTTCCATTTTTGAATGAATTCCTTATAGCAAACTTCTTTCGTAGAATTTTGAAATTTTTTTTCTCAAAAATCTTCTAAAAAGAAAGAATTATTATCTTACTTGAAGGACAATGACAATAGTTAAATTTTTGTTTACTAGTACATGTAAAATAATTATCAAGTATTCGATCACGCTCTGTTCGACATGTATATGTTGTTAATTGATTTAATTGTCTTAATTTTTCCGTATCATTAACAATGCATAAATGAGGATCATTACATTTAACAGAAAAACTTGCTTTTTGTAAGCGTTCACATTCCGATGGTGGATATTCACAATGAAAACCTAGTCAATAAAAAAAAATAACAACAAATATTTAATCGCACATTTGAATACACATATCATTCATTCATACCAAAATAACCTGTCGGACAACGACAATGAAAACCACCAACATAATTATAACATGTTCCATTATTTACACATGGTTCTATTAAACATTCATCAATATCATATTGACATACATCACCTGTATACGGTGATAAACAACGACATTCAAATCCATTTATCTAAATGGTTCTTTCTCTATGACTTGATTGTTTTTGAAAGAAAGCTATTACTTTGTTAATGCATGTGCCATTTCGATTACATGGTTGAGAAAGACAATAATCAATTGATTTAGCACATGTTGAACCAAACCAACCTAACGCACAATAACATCGATACGAACCAATTTCATTTACACATCTTTTATAAAACAAATTCAAATCAATACAAAATAGAAAAACTAATCTATATAAAAAATACAACATGACTCACGTGCCACCATTTCGACATATAAATGGAAATACACTACATTCATCAATATCTTCATCACATCGAATACCTGTATAAGTTGGTGGACACATACAACGATATTGACCACCATTTAAATTATAACAAGTTGCATTTTGATGACATGGTGATGAATCACAAGGATTTTGTTCAACACATGAACCATCCCAATCTTTATAAACGAAAAAGAAAGAAAATACTTAATTCTTTTTCTTTATCTTATAAATATATATATATATAGCTATGCATACTTCGTTTAAAATTAGTTCTACATTCACAATGAAATGAATTAATGCCATCAATACATTGTGTATTATTCTTTTGACATATTATACCTTCACAATCATTTATATTTGTTTCACAATGATGACCTGTAAAACCTGATTGACATGTACAATGATAAAGAACATTATCACGATCAAGTATTGAATGACATTTAGTCGCATTGTTTAGACATGGTTGAGATAAACATGGATCAAGTGTCTAAAAAGAAATTGTTTAATTTAAAATTTTCGAAAGAAAAATACTTTCAAATGTATTCATAATTCAATAGGATTTATATTATTCATAGAATGTTAATCTTAAGAAAAATGTGTTGATTATATGGGTCAAATTTCTTACGACATTCTGAATATTGATATATGTTAAACTCAATAGTTCAAGTAGTTATATCGATACTGAATAAATATCATCGAATAAAAAAGTTTAGTATCGTTTTATCGATATATATATATATATATATGCTTTTTTCGCTCAATTAATTAGAAACTTCATGATGATTAAACATTGTTATTAAAATAGCATCTATAACTATGTGGAATATATTTTCAGATAGATCAAAGCTGCCATGTAATGATGTTATAATTCAGGATAATCAATAAAAAAGAAGACTTAATTTCTTAAGTAACACACTACTTAGTATAATACTCTCTCTCAAGCAATAAAACGAAAATCGTCCATGAGATAAATGTTAGTTATTCAAATAAAATGGTTATATCCTGTCATCAATGCTACTATTATTTAAATTGATTACTCATAATAGTCGTGTTACGAACATCATGATTAAAATTCTTAGCGTTGGTCTTAGATCCTATCGGGTCAGCAGTGCTAAATCTTAGAATATCGTGAAAGTTTCAACCAAAAAGAATGTTCTTTTATCGAATTATTTGATTTTCAAGTGATGCCTGTAGCAAAAGGCTGTTCTTGAAAATCCAATACCGTGACAAAGAAACATTATTTTTGGGCTAAAACTTTCGCAATATTTTAANTGTGGAATATATTTTCAGATAGATCAAAGCTGCCACGTAATGATGTTATAATTCAGGATAATCAATAAAAAAGAAGAATTAATTTCTTAAGTAACACACTACTTAGTATAATACTCTCTCTCAACCAATAAAACGAAAATCGTCCATGACATAAATGTTAGTTATTCAAATAAAATGGTTATATCCTGCCATCAATGCTACTATTATTTAGACTGATTACTCATAATAGTCGTGTTACGAACATCATGATTAAAATTCTTAGCGTTGGTCGTAGATCCTATCGGGTCAGCAGTGCCAAATCTTAGAATATCGTGAAAGTTTCAACCAAAAAGAATGTTCTATCATCGAATTATTTGATTTTCAAGTGATGCCTGTAGCAAAAGGCTGTTCTTGAAAATCCAATACCGTGACAAAGAAACATTATTTTTGGGCTAAAACTTTCGCAATATTTTAAGAGTCATTAGATCTATCAATATAAAGTTTTAGATCGAAATTCTATTATTTTATTTGTTGGGAACTACCTACAAGTGAATTTAAAGTCCACTAAATCAATCAAAACTTGACGACACAGTCTCATGCAACTGAATTCTTTTGGGTTTCTGCTAGTCTCACTGAGATCTACCTGTAAATTCAATATAAGCTCAAACAGTGAATGTCAGTTGGGTTAGTTCTCTCATAAGTTGTAAAGAAACTCTCAACGGAGCTATGATAATTTCTTGGAGAAACAAGCATTTGACCAATAGTTCTGTCATTAATAAAAGCCAAAACCGATGCTTTTCTTTAAGTTTTCATATTCATATATTCATGTTCGCAAATTTCTTAATGAACATGAATGTGAAAGTAAAATATATCGTCATTATTGTGTTTTTTTATTTCAGCAATCATGGAACTGTGAGAAGTATAGAGAAAGGATTCCTATTTCTCACTCTTTAGAAGACATCCCTAGATCGGATCCAGATCCAAAAATGTCTTGCTGACCAGATCCAACAGATTATACTCTAAAATTAACGGCCAATTATCACTTGATTATATCTAAGATCATCATGAAGATTATCTGAATAATGTCTAGCATATGTTAGAAGTAGAATACAAATAATCGCTAAAAGTATCCGGCATCTTTGAAATGGCAATCAAACTTCAACTAAAAAAATTCGTTGAAATAAGTACAGCCCGGGTCCAAGTCTAAAACCTATTATCAAATCATTTTTTCTAACAAGTCTACAGTTATTGAATACGAACAGTTTGTTTAAAAATCAACAACTCATATTAAACTAGTTATATTGAAAAATATCAACAAAACTTTTGATTATTCATACCATTTCACAATTTATTCCAGTAAAACTATCAAGACATTCACATTTATATGATCCAGGACGATTAATACAATTTCGTGCTGCTTTACATGGTTGTATTATTTCACATTCATCAATGTCTTCTGAACAATCAATTCCAGTCCAACCAGGTTCTTAAAAGAAAGAAAAACAAAAATTTTTTTTAATATTGATTTAGTTTTTTTGTTCATACCACAAACACATGTATAACCATTCAGTAAATCAATACATTTACTCTGATTCGGGCAAGGATTTGATTGACATTCATTAATATCATATTGACATTGATCACCAGCAAAGCCTTGAGAAAGTTTTTTTTTACAAAACAAAAACACAAAAAGTTAATTCAAAAAGTAAATTTACCAAATGGACAAACACATTGAGAAGCATTTTTTAATAAATCAACATGACAAAATCCTTGATTTTGACAATGGTTATTCGTACAACGAACAGGTATTGTTTTTAAACCACATTTCAAGTCTAATTCAAAAAATGATCTTTTAAATCTAAGATTATTTTTTTATTTACCAGTAAATGGATAGCAATCAAATATTTTAAAAAGTGGACAATACTGTTCAATATTAAACGACGATGTACATATACGATGTTCTAGACATAAATAAAATCAATAAAAATTTTATTTCTTTTCTTTTCAATTACGAACCACAAGTTTTAATATTTGTTAAACAAGAATTTAAATAACTATTTTTATTTATATCAAAACCTGTATATGGTAATAAACATGTTACATTTCTATCTTGTTCATTAACAAGTATTTGAATATTTAATTTTGTTTCAATTGTTTGATTTTGAAATAATAATGGATAATCAATTAAAGGTATTATTCGTGTTTCATCATTATTAAATGATATAAATATACGTGATAAATTATCATTAAATGTAAGATTAACATAATTCCATGTATCTATTTGATGATAATAATTAATTGCTGATTGATATTGATAATCAATATTTGATAGATTTCCTACTAATGTATTTAAATTACCAAATTTAAATTGATATTTTTCTTTTTTATATCGATAAATAATATGTAAATGAAAATCTTTTGTAATTAATTGAAATTGTTGACTGTTCAATAGATGAATATGTTCGATATGAATTAAATCAATATTTGGTAAACATGAACGATAACTAAAACTTATACTTTTTGATGATATTTTACAAATGAAAAGAATAAAACTAAAGACTAAAATTACAATAGAAGCAAGAAAAAGAAATAATTGAATTAAAAATAAAACTCTTTTTTTTTTATGTTACCTTGAATATTTGCCAAGTACATCTTGTCATTTCCAATTAGTACTTTTCTTTTTTTTTTTTGTCAATTATGACAACACATGTGAGCAATCATCGATTCATTATCTTCTATATCCATTGCACACATAACGTCGACTGTAGAACGGACAGGTCAAATCGAAAAAACAACAAAAACATCAAACAAAAGAATAGAGACAAACGAACGAAAGTAAGTAGGAGGACAAAAAAAAGAAATGACGAAGTGACTGACCTCTAATAAACGAAAAAGAGGAGGAGGAAATAATCGTATCTGACATTTTAATTTCGTAAGGAGGAAGACTAGTGCATACATTGACGTTGAACGAAGAAATTAGATATGTTAACATCCCATAATCTCTTTTCCTTTTCAACTTGGCATGTACATATTCGCCATCCTCTTCCTTAACGATCATGTAAAGAAATAATCGTCATACACATTCAGCTACGATCATGAGAACGTAATTGAATTCAAAATGAATCTTCCACATGAACTTTCTCATGCTGAAAATGGTATTCTTTTTCATATTGGCATGTAAATTTTTTCTCTAGTTGATTCATACTTATCGTTACCTTTATTAACAGACGATGTCTACTTGTCCATTGAATCTGTCCTTGTTATCGTATCATCTTTCCCACTCAGACATATTTTCGAATGTACGCGTATATTTTAATTGAACCTTACCTATACTTAACTCTATGTATACATACACGTGCACACACATTCAAGTATGAGATATGAATGAACGATAAAGTAATCAGATCTAATTAGAATGAAAAAAAAAACGTAGTGAATAAGAATGAATGATCATCTATCAATTCATACTCGACTGCCCCTTCATTTTGTAGAAGTTAAAGGCTGAAAAGAAAAAGAAATGAACTCTCTACCTAATTGCTGTGCTGATTGAGTCGTATTGAAATGTAGAATTTTCTCTGATCAAATGTGACCTTAATCCGTCTGAGTAAGATGAAAGAATCAAATTGTCCTATATTTCAAGGTAACACCGCAATAGTAATAGATCAAAGTAAACGGAAGTCTAAAAAAAAAGGTTTGTTTTCCTTCACTAATCTTCATCTTTTACGTCGTATAAAAAAAAATCAAAAACATCCGATCGATATATATATGATGTATGTTATTGACATGAACTTTTTATTTTTTCAACTATGAATAAAGAATATCTATAGCTGCAAGCATGTTTGATAGAATATCATATGTGCTTAATGTTTTCTATCTTACATACGTCGACTAACAAATATTTATTTTAGTAATACAAATCGATAGAAAAGCCATGATCAATTTTCGAATAACAAACAATTTGATGTCCATTGTTAAAACACATACATAAACAAGGAAATTTTCATATGATCTTTATAAAAATGTTTATAGACATGAATTTCAAACAAAAGTTAAATTTAAGTCAATTAACGTCGTCTGATACAATCTCATGATTTTGATTATGTTAGAGATTAAAGGAGAACAGAAAATTTCATTGATATTTTATTTATTAGATAAAAAAAGAATTGATCCCATCAATAACCATTCAATGATGTTTGTTGTAATTGAGCAACTTTTTCTTGCCATAGTTTCTTTGCATGACTTATTTTTCTTTTCGCCATACCATAAATTGTAATTCGAAGAATGCCAAAAACAATAGAGATGCATCCAATGATCAATGCTGAATATGTACGAACACAGGAAGAAGTTCTTTGATAATAGCCACATGAATCTTTATGAAAAACGGCAAACAAAATAATACAAGTAATTCCCGCTGCAATACCAACAATTGAGAGGCACAAGGCTGCAACTAGTTTGTCATTCATCATTTTCTCCTGATTGTCTATGTATTGAGTTATGCGAAGAATTTGTTGAGAATTAAGTCGTCGTTGAGTGGTTGGTGAAAACCGTTGATTAACAAGTTCATTGACGACAGTTGATGGATTGGTAAAAGGTTTCATGTTTTCGGTAGTATTTTCTGTTGAAGGCATTGAAAGAGCCGTATAGGCAGGTGGCGGTGGTAGTTGTTCATTGATGTTAGATGCAGTTAGTGTACCAAAATCTGCATAGTACTGAGGTGCATGAGCTGTAGGTGGTGGAATAGAATCATCAGTCTTGGTCGTCATTTGTATCTGGTTGTTGTTGTTGATAATATAATAAAGTAAAGAACTATTCAGCTTCTAACTTGCTTTATAGTAGCTAACTACATTGTCATATTCTTTTATCTATCATAAGACGTAAAGAATAATAACGATAAGTTTTTTGTTTTTTTATGACGCAGGTTAACAAAATTTTACATTACTGATAATTCTAACAGAGATAATATATTGTCATTAATAAAAACAATTTTGACTTTAATCTCAAAATACAAATATAAGATACAGTATATTCATTGATCGAAGATATCTTCAAATGATATAAACAGAAAGTCAACATTTTTTATCATTTACCAAAACCCTTCCCTCATCAAACATCGAGATTTTAGTAAAAAATTCGATTCTGAGATTTTCACCTGGTTGGATAAGCTTCGTTGTCTACTTTGAAAAATAGTATCATCTATCAAAATTCGGATGCTTCTTCACGATTTTACACACTGCTAACTGATAATGTTGGAATGACGACAAATGTTTTTTTTAAAATCTTAATTATGGTTGTATTTTGAACTTTTCTGAGGTTTCCGATCGTGGAGATCTGGCAAAAATGTTAAAAATAGCAAGCACTACAAGTCATCGAACAAGTGCACACGTGCTTTGTATTTCTTTTCCTAGCAGTGTTTATTTAATTACGTAATTATTTTGATAGTTTTATGTCAGAAGAGACGTCTCTTTAAGTAAATATGAGTTCTCTTCTCTTCTCTCGGCTTTGTTCTTTCTCGTTTATAAATATTCCTATCTCTAGTTATCTTTTGTCTATTTAAGCAGCTGTCCTTGTTAATGTAGGTATGAATGAATAAGGCTGATTGTGAAAGGATGCCATAAATATTGACATCCACATCTACCACTCCTGAAGTTTTCATCTAGATGGCTTGTTCTGAGATGAAAATAGATTTTTGACAGGAGTGTAGAAGGCTTGGCTCGATGACTGAAAAAAACGAACATTATTTGATACAACTTCAATCGGATAAGATAAAGGACAAAAGTAATTACTAGTGAATAAACTTTTCTCGCCTTTATATGAAGACATGCGAATAGAGACGCATAGAATCTAACGTCCAATGTCTTATATTTGGGCTAAAGAATTTGAAGAAATTAATCTATATCAAAATATCATCAAATTTATCTGGCTATCTAAAATTTTCCACCTTATTTGAACATTAACAAGTCTTTTTAGAGTAACTTCCTCTCCATAGAGACTTGCATTAGAGTCATTTTTCGAAATAGTCGAAGCTCTCTAAGTTGCCTATCTGTAAATTAGGTCGAATACTAGAGATGCTTTTTTTTTCAATGTTGTATTCTATTGTTTGATATGCATTGTATAAACTGATGTATTTTGCAGGGTCGATTCACGTCTTCTCAAAATTCTTACAAAGGTGAAATAAGGATGACGGTAATCTTCCAACGGTGGATATCTGGAGTTTTACTAGAAAACTAGAAATTTGGGTTACAAGAAAATTTTTCACTGAAAACTCGAGTTTTCAGGTAATAAACCTCCAAAATTCGTTGGATTTCCAGAACAGGCCTTGAAGAAAAAACCAATGATCTTCTATTCGGAGCGTAGTTTAATTTCAATAAGGAACGAAAGCTATATTTTATGATCCCACTTCATTGAAGGAACAAATATGTTTCCATAAGGTTCTTTATTTCAGATCAATGTGAATATTTGAATTATTAATGTGACTTATATGCTTGATGGAAATAGTAGATTTTTCAATCTATATAGTAAATAAGTGTTCGCAGTTAACTGTCATAGAAAAAACTATTCAAAAATACTGTTTTGAAGTAACGTCATTAATGTGAAAATTTGATAGACCTGTTTTTTTGCCTCTGAACTCTTTATTCTACTGTTAGTTAATATCAAGTCTATGTCGTTAATAGAGGTCGTTTTACTCAATGTATTTTAAAAGACTCAATTAGAAGCAATGAAAATCATTAACAAAAATTGTAATCTTGTATTCTTCGGAAGTCAGTAATAGTCACAAGTTTTCATAGATATCAATAAATATATTTCATAACCGACGATTTGCACATTTTTGTTACATAATACATGTTTTTCTTTTATTTTGAAGATTTAATAACAAAAACAAAATCTAGTACTATGATTTTGAGATAAATGGTTATAAGTCTGTGATTTTTTGGCTTACATAAACAAAACATATGAGAAAGATAGTGCTAAATTATCCAATAAATCCAGTAGTGATCAGATCGTGAGGTAGGGCCAGTTGAGTTCAAAAGTTTTAGAGCCGATTGAATCGATTTTTGATATTTTCAATGAAGTTTTCTAATTAGAATAGTTGTTTGAGATCTAAATCTCACTTATACTTTATTTTTATAGCTCTGATTATCTTCCATCAATCCAACAGTCTAACGAATATGTATAGGACGATAATACGTAAAAATCCTATAAACGATAAACAAAGAAAGAAAAATCCATTAAGAAACATGAAAGAGAGAAGAATAGAAGGGAAGCGAAAAAAAATCGAATATATGACAGGAAAGGAAAAGTCCATGATGCATGACTAAACATTAAAGGAAAAGAAGAAGAACATACGTGCATATGTATACTCTTATACATAAAGAGGAAAAAATCCTTATGACTGCATCTGAAGAAGAGGTAGATCATAACAAGTCGCTCCGAGCATAGGAGATACATATTTTACAGCTTTTCGTATTCAATGACTGGCGCATCCTACACATTTCTCAGACGACTAGAGCTTATCAGGTTCGAAATTTTCGGACTCAGATTCGACAGGCTCTGGGGGGGGGGGGGGGGGGACAAGCTGTTAGAGGTGTAACAGCCCCCATTATGTAAAACTTTTTTTTCCCGACAGAGCTGAAATTCGCTGTTTTGCATTCAGTAGAAGAAAAATATTCTCTTTCTGCAAAAAAATCGCCATGCTTCCACCCCAATATTGGCTGTTTCTAGTCACTACTGAATAAATCCCTCATGATTGAGAAAGAAAACCATCTGTTTCAATCACAAATGCATCAAACATCATTCGATCGATATTTGCTTTTGATTAAACGGCATTTACTGATTCTTTATTCAACATTCGTTATTTTGATTATCATGAAAAAATGTTGTATTGTCTTGTTTCACGGATCAAAAACAAAGTCTAGATAAAAAAGAAAAACTTGATAGGTTCTCAAGTTGAAAATTTTAGTCTTTTTCTTTCTTTATAATAAAAAATCTTCTATGGAAAAATATGAATATCAAAATACGAGTATCATGCGTTTTTTAAATAAAATAAAGCATATGAATCAGCTTGCGCAATGAGTGGGTGTATCAATAAAAAAAAAAGCGACGCATTAGAAAAACACATTTTTGTGTCTCTCCTTGTCGTTCTGTTTTAATAGGAAAGCGATCGAGCGTCCCAAATAACAATATTATCAAGTTTAATTCAATCGAAAAGAGACACAAAACATGTTACTAGATAATACAAAGGTAAATCTCAAACAATTTCATGTTAAGTTATCTTTATTTGGATGGAAATTAATATATGACTGGTCATTTTCATTAGCAGCACTTATTGCATATTATTTACTTATTTCATTATTACCATTGATATTAAGTATGTTTGCTGTTGTTACTTTAATATCTAATAATGATATTAATTTTCAAAATCAAATTCGTGATCGTTTAATAAAGGCATTTCCTGAAAAAGGTTTAAGTGATATACTTGATCAATTACTAAATTCATTATCAAAACAAGCTGGCTTAGTGTTTATAATTAGTTTTATTGTATCAATATTCACTGGTTCACGTTTATTTATTGGCCTTGATGATGTATTAACAATAATATATCGTATACGTGAAAGAACAATACTTAATCAAAATATTCTTGCAATTAAAATGGTTTTAGCATTTATAACTATAATGCCATTTATTATTATACTTTCATCAATGCCAGCTATTATGCAAAAACATGAATCATTTTATCAATTTTTAACGACTGTTTTTAGTGGTTTATTTTCATTTATATTTTTTCAATTAATTTATATGATTGTACCTAAACGTCAAATGAATTGGAAGCATACGTATGTAGAAATAATTTATTTTCTTTATAGAAACTATGTTGTTGTTTTTTAGATGGTGTGGTGCTTTATTGGCAGCTGTCGGTTTACAATTAATTCTTTTAATTTTTCCATGGTATGTGCATGAATTTATGGCTGATTATGTTGGTCAATTAGGTTTCGTAATAATAATATTACTTTTGTTTTATTTATTTGGTTTATTATTTGTTATTGGTGCACAAATTAATGCGTTCTGCTTTGACTATATTCAACCATTAGCATATGGTCTTGGAACATGTTTATGCGAATTTGCTGATCAAGAACGAATGCAAAAAATAGATCAGAATTTTCAACCACATGATGTGATAGTTGAAGGATTGAATACTACTCAACAGCAACAACAAGAAAAACAAATGACAGTAGATTAGTTACTTGTACACGTTAATCAATATGATTCTAATCAAGAAATTTCTTTCTTTTTGTAACTATAACATTTTTGTTTGTGAATGATCATGTAGTGCCAATAAAGGAAAGACATGATCTCCTATGAATGATTTATCTTATTGTAAAATATCTATTCATCATTTAAATATAATTGGATGTATTAAGCGGGTCTCCCACCTTCAAAAATCCCATTTTTGCCAGAAGAAAAAGAGAATTTGTTTTTGATAAACATACAGAGATATACCGTAAGATGTTTGCTTTTAATATTTATCAATAAAAGCTTTTAAATTTAAAAGATTTCGAAGAGATATACTATAAGTTTCTCAAGTTTTCTATGGTAATATTTTTAAAAAAATGTAAGTAAAAACTGAAAAAGACATTTGTACGCAACTCCACTTTCTTTGAACTGTAGGTGTCGCTAAGAGTATAGTTCACTAAGTCTTGATTAGTTTTAGTGATTGATACATGATATCGTCATATTTCATATTGATATTCGACGACGAGAGGTATATATGACGTTTTCTCAAAAGTGGCTTTTATGTCAGTAGTTATTATCCGTGCAAATTCTTTTTCAATATGCTTTGTTATCGGAAACTGTTGTTTCTTTCATGCATTGGTCGCATCATACTCCTTCGGATAAGAAGAATCGACTTTTTTTTATTAGTCTCTTTTTCTGTAGATAATTTCTTCTTTCTGGACAATCGTTTTTTATTTTCTAAGGCTTTAGAATTTTTTACGCTTCTTAACATTCAAGCAAGCTGGAAGAAAAAAATCTCTTGCCGTCTCATTCAAAATAATAAACGCTTCTTCTTCAAATAAAACAATTCTCAATTCTGTCCCTTGATTTCCAGAAAATTTCTGAAATTGTAACATGAGTAAGGATATGAAATCGAAGAATATGGATCTGTTATATGTACAGATATATGAGACTATTTCTTTAATCGAATATTAATATGAGAATGTAAATTCAAAGAATTATTTTTTTTACTGTTATCTAAATAGTATAACAAAAAAGATAGAGATTCAAATATTGTTGTTGATAAACAATAATATGATATTATCAGTCACTTGTTTAAGACTTCTTCAATTTCTTTGTTATTTTATGCTTTTTGAGTGGTTTAAATTCATCAAGTAAAGTTAAAGTTTTCTCATATAGGCTTTTCGCATATTTATCAACAATGAACATAAGTATTCGTTGGAAAATAGAACCAATGAAAAAGCCTTGGTTACTCACAATGCGGTAGTTAAGCGAGAGTAAACAGGTGTTTTATAGTACGCAAAAGAGAACATCTTTTTTTTTTTTGTTGGAATTTGGAATAATGGTAAGACTAGTTTAGATTTCTGTTTTTTCTTTATTTTTTATATTTCTTAAATAAATTGTTTAGCCTCGTACGACAACTGGATCTAATAAGGGTAAAGATGAATCGGTTCGGGTCGTTGTTCGATGTCGTCCGATGAGTGATAAAGAACAAGAATCTGGCTGCGAAAGGTTTTTTTTCCAATAATATTTATAAACCTATTCTTAATTTTATCTAATTAGAGTTGTTGATATCGATGGTCAACGTCGACAAATATCTGTTCGACGACCAACCAGTGAATCTTCTCATCGTAGTACTGATGATACTATACATAATTTTTTTTTTGATGCTTGTTATGATTGGAAGTATGTTTCTTTTTTTCTATCAAGCGATTTATCTTCGAATAATAATTAATTTAGTTCACAGCAAAAAGATGTTTATGATCAAACAGCACGACCACTTGTTGATTCAGTACTTGAAGGTTTTAATGGAACAATATTTGCTTATGGTCAAACTGGTACTGGTAAAACATTTACTATGGAAGGTAAAAAAAAGTCATTAGAAATTAGACTGATTTTGATTTAATCAATATAATAGGTATTCGTTCTCAAGCGGAATTACGTGGAATAATTCCATCATCATTTGCACATATATTTGATTCAATTTCACATACTACATCAAGACAATTTCTTGTACGAGCTTCTTATCTTGAAATTTATAATGTAAATATTTATTTATTTATTATTGAAGTTTATTTAAAGAAAATAAAATTTTTAGGAAAGTATTCGTGATCTCTTATCAAGAGATCAAAATAAACGTTTGCAATTACAAGAACATCCTAAAGAAGGTGTTCATGTACATGATCTTAGTTCATTTATTACAAAAAATATACAAGAAATTGAACATGTTATGACAACAGGAAATTTAAATCGTTCAACGGGGTATATATTTTACATTCATTTTATTTACAAAAAAAAAACTTTTAAATTAATTAGAGCAACAAATATGAATGAACATAGTTCACGATCACATGCTATTTTTATTATTACTGTAGAAAGTAGTGAGGTAATAAAAAGTAAAGACTCATTTTAAAAATTAAAACTATAATAATTTAGATTGGTATGGATGGAAAAGCACATATTCGTGTTGGAAAACTTAATCTTGTTGATTTAGCTGGAAGCGAACGTCAAGCGAAAACAGGATCAACTGTAAAATTTTGATTATAAGAACAAATAAAAAAATCTACTTATCTACAATAAATTTAGGGTGAACGCTTTAAAGAAGCAACAAATATAAATTTATCTCTTTCTGTACTTGGTAATGTTATTTCTGCACTTGTTGATGGTAATTCACATATACCTTATCGTGATTCAAAATTAACTCGATTGCTACAAAGTAAAAAATTTTTCAAAGAAATTTTTTAATTACAAAAAAAAAATATTTTTCTAGATTCACTTGGTGGCAATTCAAAAACAATCATGATTGCAACACTTGGACCTACAGATTATAATTATGAAGAATCTCTTACAACACTTCGGTAATTAATTAAATTTTTTAAAACATTATACTATATTTATAATTCTTAATCAAATAGGTTGTTCGGCTGCTTTATTTCTGAGTCTTACGAAGTAATTTTAGTGATATCAATGCTTTTGTTAACATTCTTGTTTAACATGATTAACGCTAAATTTTAATCCTTTGGCGACGGAGTTCTTTTACTTTTGAAAAGATGCAAAGTTTTTATTTTTTTTTCATGGAAGACCTGCAATAGAGAGAATAAGTCCAGAGAAACAGTGGATTTATATCATAATATATATATCTCATAAAATCTAACAGTTGAGAATTCGTAACATTAGAGCTTTAGTAGTAAGTGTTGTAGCTTCATCGGACAATAATCGTTCCGGAATTTGATATCATCTTATGGAATTATGTTTGATTGCATGAGATTCTAAAAGATTGTGGGCGTAGTGATTCTATAGATTTCTGAGTGCTACGAGATTCAGAATGCCTAGTTTTTTCTTAATATAACATGCCTAATGGTATTATTCGATAATGCAGTGAACCTATGTAGCAACATACGAAAAAGAGAGAGAATACTTTGTTATTGTCTAGTGAAGATAGAGATAATCAGAAAAGATATACTCGGCATAAAAGTTCAAAACGTATATATACGTTTCTCATCGCCAAAGGATTTAAAAAAATACTAATTTAGATTATCTTTATACTAATCGTAGTTTCTTGTTATTTTTTAAAAAGTATATTCTTAACAGAATCATATTTACGAACAAACTAAATTTTCTAATATGAAGCACCAGAATAATGATTCGTTTCAATAAAACTTGGTTCTAATGTTCGTCTTCTTTTTATTATGATTTTCATTTGGTTCTCTTCAAGTATAGTATATCAAGAGCTATAAAAGAAGTATTAGTCATATTTTTTAACTGGAGTTAATATGAAAAACAAAGGTGTGTTTGAGAGAATGCTTTAACTCAAAAGTATTAGCAGCATTGAATCTACTTTGCACTAGGCCCACTTCAACATTACTTATTCATATTCAAAGAATCCATAATACGATAGACAAGGGTGACACATGTTGACAAATATGATTTATCTATGTTTTATCCCTGCAAGTCGTCAAACCCTCGCGCAAGTCATCTTCAACTGAGCAGTCGTGGCTAAATGGCTGCACCATTCTATGTGTATCCAATAGATACTGTATTCAAACCTCGGTACCATCAATCATAGAATGACCCTGGATAAGTCATTAACGGCTGTTTATCTCGGATCACCCGTCTGATAGCATGATGACTAACGAGGGAACCTTTCGAAGTGATCGACCGCTTTTGAGCTCATGTTTTGGACATATAATTGACGAGACCTCTAGACTAGAGTAATCCTAAAGCGCCTTCGGACCCATAGGCCTCTCTACAGAGTTATAGCCACTTTACTTCAGTTTTAGCCGATGACACGGTATGTACAAACAAATAGACTAACGATATTTTGATCTGAAATTTTGTTCACAGATAGGCCTACTTAAAATTATAATGCTCTGAAAATTTCAGGTCAGAAGAATATTTTCTTCGCAAGATATTGAGTTTTCAAAAATCACTCAGATCCCATAAAAAAGACACGAGAATCGCACGTGTTTTCGGCATTCAATATCTCGCGAAGAAGATATTCCTTTGAGCTGAAATTTTCAGAGCATTATGATTACCACTAGACCTATTTGTGAACAATATTTCACATCCAAATATCGTCAGTCTATTTGTTTGTACATATTGTGCCATGGGCTAAAACTGAAGTAAAATAGCTATAACTCTGTAGAGGAGGCCTATGAATCCGAATCCCTTTAGGATTATTCTAGTCTAGAGGTTCCGTCTATATGTCCAAAATATGAACTGAAAAGCAGTGAATTACTTCGAAAGGTTTTCTCGTAAGTTGTGATATACATCTACCTTTGTGGTAACTTAGTGTGAACGGGAAGCTTAAGCGATTTAGCACAATAACTCTCCATCAAGCTGGTCTTCTGTTCAAAGCTGTAGCTAGTTATTAGTTGTAGGAAAGAAACCGAGCTAATTAATCTGCCACTTATCAACACTCCATACCGCAACGGTGCGAAAAGACAGGATTATTCCTTTTTCCATCTCTAATTAAGCTGAAAACAAAAAGATACGTTCAAATTTATTATTATCCAAACGAATAGTATTTTTATATAATTTTATGTTAATTTTAGTTATGCCAATCGAGCTAAAAATATAAAGAATCAGCCACGTATAAATGAAGATCCTAAAGATGCTTTATTACGAAAATTTCAAGAAGAAATAGCTCGATTAAAAGAACAACTTGATGGAAAAAGTAATAGTGGTAAAAGATCACGACGTCATAGAAATCATGATGGAGCTGATAATGATGAAAATAATGATAGTGATCAAAACGATGAAGAATTATATCTCAAAGAACGACAAGATAAACTCAATGAAGAAAAACGATCAATTATTCAGAAAAAAAATTTGAATGGTAAATTGAATTTTTCATTTATTTTTAATAAAGAAAAGTTTTATTTAGAAACTGAACGAGAAGGCATGCTTAGACAATTAGAAGACAAACAAAAAGAAATTCAACGTGAACAAGACGAACGTCGGGAAATGCAAAATAAAATACAACAAATGGAATCAAAATTAATTACTGGTGGAAAAGATATTGTTACACATACAACTGAACAAGAAGAAGTTTTACGACAAAAACGGTTTTATTTTTCAAAGCTTTTGTTTGGCATATAAAATAAATTTTATGTTTCAGACGCTTAATTGCTGAAGCTGAACGTCGCCACCGTGAAGTTCAGAAACAATTAGAACTGGGTGAAGAAGAACGACAAACAATGAATGAAAAATATACAAATATAAAAGAAGAAGTTGAAGATAAACGTGCTAAAAAAGAGAAATTATCTAAACAATTAAAAAAACTCGAAGCTAAAAAGCTTGAGATTGTTGAAAAACATCGTACAGCACGTGAAGAACTTGAAGCTGAGCAACGTGAAATTCAGAGACAAGCTAAATTATATCAACTTATTATTGAAAATTTTATTCCTATTGATGAACGTGAACGATTATTAAAAAGAATTCAATTTGATGACCAACAAAATCGTTGGACACTGAAAGAATTATCGAAACAAACGTAAGCCCAGTTGTAAAAAAAAGAAGATATTTTTCGGATAACAATTTTGTAGAGACCAAATGGCTGCTCGTCCAACATTAACTCGTGGTGATCGGCGTCCAATCGCTTTACATTCACAGTCAAATTCGATTCCTGAAATAGCTTATTTTAAAGTATTCAATTTTTATTTTTTTTCAAATTAATATGAATTAAAGCACTTTTAGGGTGAAAATATTATCTTACTTCAACTCGATTTTCCTAGTCGAACAACTCGGGATTATGAAGGTCCAATGGTTTCACCAATGATTCAAGCAGCTATTGAAAATGCAATGAGGGATGAAGAAAATATTGAATTAGATGTCAAGTAGATAAATAAATTTATTTTTATTTTAAATAATTTAATTCAATTTTTGTTATAGTAATATTCCACTTGAAAAGCGGAAGAAAAAAAAGTAAGTTCAAAAAAAGTTTGTTCAAAAAATCAATTTAGATTTGTAGGAAAACAATTCCTAGTAGTGGTGGTACTTATGATAATTATATATCATCAACATCATCTATATCTCGTATTGGATATGGAGATTCACATGCGAGTCGTAGTATGAATAGTGCACGACGTTAAAAATAAAGATTATTTTGCAACATGAACAGTGATATAATTGTTGTATTTTGTTTTGTTTTACTGGAATACAATCATTTTTCCTTCATAAAAATTATTCTCTCGGTGTGTATTGTAAAGTATTTTACGTAAATAAATTGCATATTTGAATGAATAATAGTTTATGACTAAAAATAGAATCTTACTGAGAATGGTGGTAAGAACGTTCACAAGAGTATTTTTCCAGAGCAGTGGTTGCCAGTTTTCAGCGAGGAACCACCACAAAATAATGATTATTTTTCGTTTATAAAACATGTTGAATCCATACGCTCCTTCAAAAATTTAAATAGTTTTGTCGTACATCAATCCTCTGAGAATATTAGCGGTGGTGTCGAGACTCTTGTGTAAACTGAAGTTTATTCACGATTCAGGTATTGTTGGTTGGAATGGACTTCAACATATGCTTCTCGCTTCATCAGGTTGATACACTAATGCAGTGTGACTGTGCATGTTGGTTTCATTTTTACCCTCACCCATACCTACACAGAGTGTATCCACAGTCACGTTGCAATTTCTTTTTTGCTCAAGTGTCGAAAGACAACGTAGGATATCTAAGGTCAAGATTCGAGTTTTTCCTGAATGGATTCATCCCAAACAACTTTCCAAGTAGATCTTCACGCGCTCTATCTACTCCGAATATGCTCTCCCATGAAAATGTTCCTGAGACCCGGTAACTCCTAAAAACTGCAAAAAATGCCCTAAAATACCATGGAATTCCGTAGAACCCGTCGCGATTCGCTCAGCAGAACTTCCAACGTGGTTATAGAACTTTACAGATAGATCTCGACGCGCTCTACCGAATGGACACCTTTTAAGTTCGAATAGATGTTCGGCTCCCCCACAAACCGACAAAACCCGGCCCAATTCCTCGGTTTTACCAGTAAACCCGTCGCGATTCGCCCGGAACCACTTTCCAACGTAGTAATAGGTCTTTCCAGATAGATCTCGATGCGATCTATCCAGGAAGTAGCATGGTTATGCTGGAAAAGACTTCTGGGCCAATCGGGACGGGTTTACCCAGTAAAACCGAGGATACCGGCCCGGCATTGACCGGTTTCTTCGCGAGCCGAGCATCGATTGGAACTCAAAAGCTGTCCAACCAATGGAGTTCGATATAATCTACTTGGAAAGTTTATCTGAGCGAATCGCGACGATGTTTCTTCTAAAACTTAGGATTCAGGCCCGGGTTTGGCCGGTTTGTGGGGGAGCTGAACATCTATTCGAACTCAAAAGGTGTCCATTCGATAGAGCGCGTCGAGACCTATCTTTAAAGTTCTATCACTACGTTGGAAAAGTTCTGCTGAGCGAATCGCGACGGATTCTACAGAATTCCATGGTATTTTAGGCTATTTCTGTGTAGTTTTTAGGGGTTACCAGGTCTCAGGAACATTTTCATGTGGAGAACATAGTCGAAATGGATAGAACGCGTGAATATCTACTTGGAAAGTTGTTTGGGACGAATCCACTCAGAAAAAACTTGAATCCTGACCTAAGATATCGTACGTCGAAAGGATTATTACAATTCTTTTTCAGTGTTAGATGCCACTTTGGAGACAGCCACTTGAATACTCTATTATATTGCCTTCTCTCTTTTTAAACACTGTGTGAAACAAAAAATATTCTCATTTGGCGACAGTATACAGTTGAGAAAAAGAAACGGCAAGTGAAAGATCTTCATAGTGGAATAAAAAATGTATGTATAATAATTACCATTTCAATTCACATTGAAGTGATTGGGACTAGGCTTTATCTCAATTCATAAAGGTTCTGACAATAAGCTGATTATGATTGATCGTACAGATTATTACCCCATTTATCTTTACAATGGTTCTTTGGTTTCAAAGGTCTATAACGCATCTATTTCACAGAGGAAGTCGAAATAAAAAGCTGAAGAAATATGAAATAAAATAAATAGTTACTGAAATAGCTATGCGTATCTTTAACTACTTGATTACTGATTTAGTTGAAGAATGACATTTCGTCTTTATAGTATAATTTGAGTAGTATTGATCAGTAATATCCCGTCACTCCAAAACAGCAATCTGAGCATCAATCTTTCAGTTTGAGAAATTTCTGAAAGAAGTTCAGATTGTTTCAATCGTATATTTTCCTATGATCATTTAATACGAATTTTGATGTGATCCTCGGGTACATAATGAGTCCGCCACCTTTAGAATTTGTAGATCTATGAGTGTAAATGAACTGAATTTCTATTTTCCAGAGATATAGCACTTCTAAGGGTACTTGATTGACCGCAGTTGACTGTTCCTTATCCCAAAAGAGCTAAAACAATGTGCATTTCATGATCGAACAGATGATCTTTTTTATTTTGAAAATGACTGGTCATTTGGATGTGTTTCTTTCAAGCAGCACACCTACAAAACAACCCAATGCTAGTGATTTGCACAACAGTTTCGGTTTGGTTTCTAGTGAACATGTATGAACCAATGGATATCGATATGAATGTGCTAGTGACTCCTGTGGAGCCATGCACTAAAATACGCTAACTGATCATCGACTTTTGATGCGATATGATGGATGTGCACTACTGTCATGTCTATGCAGCTGCTGCTGCCATCAACCTTACAGTGACAAATCTATCTTTCTGCACCAAATTTCTGAGATGAATACTAACAGCGTCGGATGCTTTGAAACAGTATCCAGAATATTACAATACCGTTGCTCTCAGGACACAATCATTCTCCATGGTTCTTTCAGTGGTTCGTGTTTGCCTCTATTTGGCCATGGCATACGAACAACTTATTTGACGACCAAAGATAAACCCACAGCACAAGTTGCAATTGCCTCGGTAATTTCCAAAATGGTTAAACGACATTAAATGAAGACACCGACGAACTACTATTTTACAATTTCTAACATTGAACTTTTGAACGAAATTTGCGCAACAAAAATATTTTATTCCGAATAAAGTTGTCTTTACTTGAATGAATACTGTAGACAGATTTGTGATAACGGAATAAAACAGTTGTGACTGTGATTTGATGTAGATTTGGTTCGGCTGCCGCAATGTGAGTACGTTTGGAGTGGGATCTGAGTATAGGCGTCGTGTGAAGTTGTCAAGATAAATCTGGTTAAGAATCAGTATAAAGACAACATTCTCAAAGCCCACACATTCACACTCTGAAACTTCCACAACACATGTATTCACACAACAACACTGGCACCTACACCCTTTTTTACGTGAGTCTCGAGCGACATTAATAGGACGACAAAAGTGCCGTTTAGTAGATGAAATATTGATTGTTTCTTCCATCCATATTGTCTGTTTTGCACCAAGTTGAAGCTATATTTTTCTTCAAAGCTTAATATGTGTATATTCTAGACAAAATCTGTATTCAGTCAAAAACAAATGTAGCCTATTTGAAAAGTAGTTCTTCTCTGATGTTAGTTCACTAAGACATTGCACTCGGCACTAGCTGAAGAAAAATTATGGTTTTGTTGGCGATAAAATTATTTATTGGACTTTACTCAACAAAAGTTTACAATACAGTATATTTGAAATTTTGTGACACAAAAAACATGTATATTTGTAAGAAAATTTTGTCATAAATCGGTCATATGTAGCTGTTTATTAGCACATATAACAGTAGGTATCATCTCGTTGACCTGTTCGAAACTGTTTTTACATTTCACTATTAGGATAAATTCTCTTGACGAGTGGTCATATGAAATCACTTACAGTATAAATGAGAGTATACAATAAGTGTAAAGTATGGAACCAAGTATATGAGACGAAGCAGCATGTGCTACGAAGCAAAAATTTACATGGAAAACAACACCTGTTATGATCATGATAGAAAAACTAAATGTTAAAATGACCACTGTGATAAATATTGCACGATATAAGATTTCTAAATTTCATATGTTGCTTGTATGACGTACATAAATTAAAAACTGAAAATAACCCCGCTATTTAATATTAATATAAACATAAATGGAATAATGTTATACACAAGAATGTTGACTCTATCCTAGAGAAGAGAGATCAAGTACAGCTGTAGTTGAAAATTGATCGTTTCATCTGAATTACAGAAACATGCAAACGTAGAAAGATGTCGATTGAATAAAGCAAGAATCACCAAAATGTATTGTTTAATGATAAGAGCATTATTCCGTCGAGAAAACCATTGTTCGATTAAAACGAATCAATAACAAGTTTTGTTCAAGACAAATTATTTAAAGCAGCCCGGCTAATGTTTGAAGAGTGAAATAGTTGAAAAATTGAAAAAAGCTTCACGACTATATCAAATATTGTTCATGAGTAAATTTCTAAATGTGTTGAAGGCAATATTCAATTTACCGTCCATGCCACAGACGAATATCAAAAATAGCAATTGTGCACATATACTGAAATGCCGCTATTCGATTTAAATCACTGAATATTAGTCACTAAAGGATAAAAAGTGTTGTAAAACGGGGATGTCCATCGCGGTCGAAAGTTCACCGCTACCGCACGGCCACCGCACGGCGATGAGCTCTAATAACAAGCCACCGCACTGCTTCCGCAGCGATATTGAAGAAATTTTGTTGACTTGGAACTTTACGATTTGTCCGAACAGGAATAGCTCCTAGGAATCGGTTGAATTTGTTGAGTCTTGCCACATAGCGGCTCTGAATACCAAGATTCGTTGAAAATTCGTGAGTTTTAAAAATTTCTTTCTAAAAAATCGACTGCTGCCGCAACGGTATTTAAAAAATCTCTCCGCGCCGTCACCGCACCGCTACTGCCGTGGCGATAGCACCGCCATGGACATCTCTGTTGTAAAATTTAGTATAGTGCCAACAATGATTAGAAAAAAGCAAATAATAGGAGATAATCATGTCGTCAATGATCTTAGAAGAAATCGTTGTACTATTATCTTGACTGCTGTTCGACATCATGGGGCGCTTGAATAATCTTTGATCGATATATTTGGCATAGGAAACGTTGATAAAGTTTTCTT